TCATTTTAAATAATTCAACTTCATAATACACAAACAAATTAAAAATTAGACACTACTCCTACTAAAGTAACATTGTATATGGAGTGGAGGTCTCAAACATTTAGTTTCCTGTGACAGCTATGCCTGTACACAGACACACTACATTCATTTATTGTGCTGATGAAACATGATTTTGACTTAAGTGCCATAATATGGCAAAGGATAACTATGTTTCTGTTATTGACTTAAACATCTACACCCTGTTGTTCTGAGAAAATTAGAGCATTTCCTTCGGACATAGATGATAAAAAAAAATCATTTTAGATTTTGGGTAATTTGACTGCACTTATATTTATCACAGAGACTTTGAGATTTACCTGAAAGAATGTCTTCATGTCCACTCGTACACCAGACTTCTTAGCTTTAAACTCTGTTTCTCATAATTCCATGGAAAAATGGAAGAACAGACCTCTTGAGTTTTGTCAGCTCAGTTTCTCTCATCTTTATGTATGTGATGAAGGAAGGCAGTATGTATAATTGTAACTATAATTTACTTTATATTTCTTGAGCTTGCCTTCAAGACTCAAGACCATTTTATTTGGAGCACAGAGTTGGCTCTGAGGGTAAAATACTTGTCACCCAAATCTGAAAAATTAGAGTTTGAATTCCAAGAACTGATGTAAAGAGCCATATGCAGTAGCACACATCTGTAACCTCAGTGTTCCTGTCCTAGGATGGGATGGGAGGCAGAGCCAGGAGAATAGCTTTTGCTGAAAGCACTTGGGCAAGCTAGCCTGTGGTGTGTAGTATTAGAAACTGCTAGAAAAACCTGCCTCAGAACAAACGGGAAGGTTAGAAATGACTTCTGAAAGTTGTTCTCTGACATCCACACATGCACATATAAACCCAGTCACACCCACCCACATACATTGTATACACATACAAATGCATATGGACACATGCTCTCTCTCTCTCTGTCTCTCTCTCTTTCTCTCTGTCTGTCTCTGTCTCTGTCTCTGTCTCTCTGTCTCTCTCTCTCTCTCTCTCTCTCTCTCTCTCTCTCACACACACACACACACACACACACACTTTCTTTTTTTCTATTATATCCACCTCAGTTATTTTGAACTCAGTGTTCTCACTCACATTTCTCTTTCTTCCTCTTTCTTCTCTTTGAGGTAGGGTACATACTGGTCTGGAATTCACTGCCTGCCCCGCCTCCTAAAATCATAAATGCATCTTTGAAACAAATTCATCTCACTGTAACTGATTTTTGTTACAATATGAGAACTTGGCAGTGAAGAAGTTAATGCCAGATATTCAAGGTGCTCAAATTTGTGCATGAAAACACCAGAAGTAAGGGGGCAACTGTGAGCCTGTGTGTTGAACACTCAGATCCTCAGCACCACTATTGGTGAAATTATTTTGGCCACTCCACGTGGTTAAAAGGATATTTATTTAATGGTGTAACTCACAAATTAAGTGAAAGGTAGGTCGCAGGGTCTGGGAAAGGTGTATCACAGTCCAGCGGTGTTCTCTGGAGCTCTGCTCAGTTCACCTCCAATGTTCAGCGTCCTGGCACAGAGAGAGCGCACAGAGAGAGCGCTGGCCCATCCAGCTCTTGGGTCTCCAGGCGCCTCCCCTGGCCCTGCCTCGTAGGTGTGACAGTTGCCAGAGTCTCAATGGGGGTTGGAACTTCCAGATCTAAGCTGGAATGGCTACCCACTACAAACCACTGTATGAGGGCAGCCATTATACAACACGGTCTTGGAAACATTCCGGCATTCTTCCTTTGGGGGTACTGACAGCAACCAAGTTTGGATATGAATCTATTTAGTGCAAGCAATGAGGTTTTGCTGTACCCCAAATGCTTAATTTCTCTAAAAGTCTTGTGTGATATCTGTTCCATGTTTTGCATTTAATAAAAACTCTCTGAAGATGTTCCAATTATAGTGGAATTAAGGAAATGATGTGCGCTGGCTCACGTTTAGATCTATGCTAAGCTCTTCATTTTCTTTATCAGAATCAGACCTTTTATTTTCACCAGGTTGTTAAGTACCCTCTTTTTAGTCTCACCTGCCAATTATTCACTGCAGAGTTTTGCTAACTCTGTCCTTTTGCAAAAAAAAAAAAAAAGTTTATTGATTCGGTAGCACTGTACTTTCTTTGTGATTCATCCTTTTCTTTATCTGCTGAAATCTCACCCATTTTTAAAAATTGCTTTTTAAATATGTTTTTAATTGTAACAGAATTACATCACTCCCCCACTTTTCTCTCTCTGAGTCCTCTTAGTTACCCTGTTTCCAACACCGCCTATATTCTAACCCCAGTTTTAAGTTGATAACCTCCATAATAATAATAATAAAATAATAATAATAATAATAACACATATATCTGTCTATCTACCTATCTATCTATCTATCTATTTATCTACCTACCTACCTACCTACCTACCTACCTACCTACCTACCTACCTATATCTATGTAGTGTATGCACACATATATAAATACAACCTGCTGAGTTTGTTTTTGATACTTGTGTGTGTATGGGTTCGGGGATGACCACTCCAAATTGGATATTCAATAAGGGGACTCATCCAAGGGAGAGGCTAATCCTCTCCCTCCCAGCAGTCATCAGCTGCCTGTAGTTCTTTGTCTAGGAACAGGACCCACATTTGTATGCTCCTTGGTATTTCCATTGTTCCAGTTACACTTTTGTAGCCATTGCTAGGAGAGACGATTTCACAACAGACTTTCTGGCATTCTGGCTCTTATACTCATTCTGCCCTCTCTTTCTTCTGGATCCACTAAAACAGGAGCTATGACACAGATGTGTCCACTGGGTTTTGGCTCCCCACAATCAGTTGATTTCTGCATTGTGCCCATGTAGTGGTTTTCTCTGATGGTCTCCATTTGTTGTAAAGTGATTTCAGTGATGAGGAGTGCTAGCTATACTTATCTGTGGATGAGTCTCCCTGGGGACTTTGCCACCAGGAGGCTTCCTATTAGCATTGCAAGTGTAGTTCAGTCTTTGTTCCCTTTGAATTCCTCCAGCATTTTGGTTTCATTTTTTATACTCACTTAATCTGGAATCTTTTGAGTATAACTGATCTTTCCTTCATTAGATTCTAAGAGTCTTTATGTGGGCAAAACAATCTATTTCATGTTTTGGAGAAGACTCTAATTCAGTTCCATGAACATAAAAGTCATTTAATACTTATTTGTTAAACAAATAGTAAAGGTTACACAGAGCTAGCTACTGCTTTCATGGCCATTTGTTGTCTATCAGGAGTCTCCAAGCAATCTAAATAAAGGATAACAACATACCAAATCTTCACCATTAAAATGTAAGTCTCTATGTTCCTTGCCTTGGTTTTTCTGGGTATCCTCTTGATGCTGACTATCTCATTTTAATGTCTTCCCACATTAGGCAAGAGATGTGAAACAGACGGTCAAAGGCTAGCAATGTTTGAATATCAGGATCCACTAAGGTCTCCTACCTACTAATCCCCAATGTCAAGACATTTAGATATTTATACTTCTCACTCCTGCTATTCTTTAAGTTTAGTTATCAGCACTACTATCCATTTGGATGGACATAAATTTTTACCTCTCCCCTGGCAACACAAAGTCGTCAACTTCCAGGCTGTGCTATGGGTATCTTTTTTCCTTTATTCAGACTGTGTCCTTTACTATCTTTGCTCATTTGATGAGATGATTGCCCTGCTTCAAATAAACTAGTGGTGAAGGGGTAAAAAAATGAGAATTAAAGCTTGAATCAGGATTTATAGGTCATGTCCCTGAGACCTAGAGATTCAGTAACTTATGGAATAACATTTCATATGGCAGAACCATGACTTGAGTTTTCTGTCCTTGACAAGATAGTCAGAGAAAACATTAAAAACAAAAACAGACCAGTTTATCTCTTAAGAGTTAGAAATGATTTCAACGTAAGAATCTTGACTACATAACTGGATTGCTCATATCCTCTTTTAGAATTTCAGTGATTACTTTGCCTTCAGCAAAGACAGTTGAAAGTGACATAAGGAAACCACACATGGGCTTTGCATTCATAATGCTACGTGATGTCTTATCAATGTCCCAGGCATGTATTACATTGGTGAAGTTTAGGTAGCCTTTTGTGGGAAAAAAAGTAATTGTTTAATCTGCATAAAATAACTTCAAGAATCTCAGAAATTGCATTTTTGAAGGCAGGAAATTTGGTTTTATATGAATATTATGAATCTTCAGTGTGTTTGGTAGCAAACCTTTCAGGAATTTTCTGTGTATAATCCTGGATTCCTGCACTGTGCTCGGGCACAGCTACCACATGTCACAATAAATGATTATATTTTAGGGAGGATTTAGAGCAGTTGTTCTCAACAAGTGGGTCAAGACCACTTTGGGAGTCAAGTGATCCTTTCACAAGGTCACTTAAGACCAGTGGAAAATGCAGATATTTACATTACAATTCATAACAGTAGTAAAGTTACAGTTATGAAGTAGCAATGAAAATGATTTTATGGTTGGTGGTCATCGTACCATAAGGAGCTTCATTAAAGGGTCACAGCATTAGCAAGGTTGAGAACCACTGGTCTAGAGTAAATCTCCATCTAGATATTGGCAGGTAGTCTATTTATGGATGTCATGATGCAAGGGTTTGGTACAATATGTTATAGCAAAGGCTTTAAAGACAAGTTGCAATCAGCTAAAGTCTGCCTTTCATGTTTGTTCCCTCTGATTTTCTGCATGTTGATAATACATTTATTTTAGAATATTGAATTCACCATTGCTAGCATATAATTTACTTTCTCAACATTAAATCCACTGGTGGAAAAGAGTGCAAAACAGGAAAAGTTCTGTTCAAATATATAGGACAGGTCACAAGTGAAAAAAGGGAATTATTTATCTCATGCTAGTTTGAACAACTTGGAAAATGAGGTGAGGCCTGTATTTGGAAACTGAAGCCCAATCTTGTAGCCTGCTTAAGAGAAAAATAAAAAAAAGTATGTGAGTCATACCATTCACAAGAATATTCTTAAAACTTTCCTGCCTCTTCTGGACTGTACACTCCTTTAGGACAGACATCTTACTTCTCTCTCAAGATAGTACCTCCAGCCTTGACTTTGAAGAATCTGTTGAATAAAGAAATGGATGAATTTAATAATGTCGCTGCATCATAATACAAGTCTGAATAGAACTGACCACACATTCCTCTCCCTCCCTTAACCCTCCCTCCCTTCAGCCCTCTTTCCTTCTTTCCCTCTTTCCTTCTTCTCCCCCTACCTTCCTTTCCTCCTTCCTTTCACGTTTACTTCCTCTCCACTCCCATTTCATTCCTTTTGTTTCAAGAAAACAGTGTGTCAGTTATATATAGATGCCCAGATCCTAGCACAGTGTTCCACATAAAAAGTCACTGACTGTTCATTGAGTGAAGAGAAATTTAATCTGGTCTCATTTCTTTGGATCCTCATGTTAGGATACATGATCGCTTGAGAATACTAGTTCTACTTTGCTACAACTAAGAAGTGTATCTCTTCCTATAAAGTGTATCCCACAAACTCCACTGCTCCTTATTAAGGTGTAACACATTCCTTGTTGGGATAAATAGGACTTGATCAGCAACAGGCAAAAGATCATTGAGGAAGACTGTCTCTAAAGCCATTCCCTGTCCCAACAGCTTTACTTCTCCTTTGAGTTGCTACAACCTGTGTTCTTTCTTGCAAATCAGCCTCAGGTGGTCTACAAGCACTGGGTACTCTTTGACTGCTGTTACTGTCACAGAGCTACTCAAAAAGAATCATGAGCCGCTACAGCAGTGGTTTTTAAGAAAGTAATTATGACTCATCTTATTAGTGATAGTCAAATATTAACACAATATTTTCTCTGATACTCATTTTCCTCTGAGTTCCTAGGGTTTCTTTGCTATTCATTTGACACCTACTTGTTGCTTTATAAGTCACTGAGCTTTACCTGTTTCTGTATTTCTCCCCCTTAAGTATAATTTAGCCAGAAATGGAATCAGTATGCTATCCAGTGAAGGAAATTAAAATAGAAAACAAAGGATTTAGGAAATATATTATATTTAATTCTTTTTTAATTACCAAAAAATATATATTTGCTTGAACTTAGACAAGTTACTCCTTGTGATGTGGATATGATACTACAAAACCCATGTCACCTTGAAATGAGACATGTAAAGATAAAGATTTCAACACAGTGGTAAAGATAAATGTATCTGCATGTCTTATCCCCCCATAATGTGTGTGTATGTGTATGAATTCTATAGTATGTAGACAAATTTCTAAACAATCTTATTAAATAAGAAACACTGAGCCAAATACAGGGGTGAAAGCCGTAGAAATCAGAATGATAGCCACCAACTAACCTTAGCTCACCATGTTGCTGTAGCTTCCCAAGAGAGCCTCTTTTTGTCTAACCTGCATCTTTATTGGCTTGCTGTTCTGCCTTCTCATTGGCTCTTAACCTAGCCACCTCACTTCCTCATTCCTGCCTGTCTATACAGAACTCCAGGTCTCTATGGTTGGTACTGGGATTAAAAGTATGTGTCACCATGCTTGGCTGTGTACTTGAACACACAGAGACTCTGCCTGCCATGTGATCAGATTAAGGGCATGTGCCACCACCACCTGACTTCTGTTTATGGCTGGCTATGTCCTCTGATCTCCAGGCAAACTTTATTAACATACAAATAAAATATTGCATTTCAGCACAAATAAAATATCACCACAATAGTGCCAGCAGACACTATGGAATGATGAGAAGGAAAGGATGATTTTTCTGCTTGGTTGCCATGGAACCCAGTCCATACAAAAAGGAATAGAGCAGTACGTGGCACGTTTCAGAAGGAAGAATGTACCTTTCTTCCTGTTTAGATTACCATTGAAGCAACAGCCTTCTCAATGTGAGGGCTCCAGATGCCAGGCCAGCAGCTCAGGCTGCTGCAAACTGCACTGAGGATGCTTATAGTACAGGTGCAGTATGAGGAAGCAGAAGAAACTGAAGAAAGCCAGGGTTGGCATGGTGATATGAGGAAGCAGTCACTGGAACAGAACACAATGATTTGAGTGGACTTTGACTTAAAAATCATGTCAGGGAAGCTTTCAAGACACCTGCCTTTTCATTTAATAAAGAATTTTCTGCAAACTACAGAAAATGTAATTAAGAGAAACTTAAATACTGCTCTATCTATCTCTATCTATCTATCTATTTATTTATTATTTTATGTAGTAACAATTACAAGAAGATAAATGAAGTATTGGTATATTTTTTTTAAATATTGTCAGGAAGATTAAATTTTTTTTATTCCTAGGCATTCTTAATGAGTGGCTTTGAGATGATGCCCACAGATCTCATATTAATGTTCAGAAAATGTAGATTGTAGAAAACCCAAAGTTATTTTTCTCCTAAGGGCTTACCTTAATATTCAGGTAGGGAAGCTCTGTTTAGAGACTTTCTCCTAGAACTGTACAAGGCTGTCACATCCTAGGACAGCTAGGAATGAAAATAAAATTACACGTTTCGCTCTCTAGGTTCTCCAAGGGAAGCCACCAAGTGAGAAGTCATTTGAGTGGGCTGGGTACCACGTCTCCCACAGGTCCAAACACTGGTGCTTTTTACAGGACAAAGTGCTTGGTGGAAAGTGATGGGTGAGGTGTGTATCTCCTCACCTTGTTGATGTAGAGTACACAATTTAAATATTGATTTCACTGCTCATACAGAGTGGGCTACCGTAACTCACCCACTGCTTTACCATCTTCCTACCCACGTGGTTGGATGTTATCTAGGAGGCACAAAAACAGTCACAATCCAAGTATTAAAATATCAACTTCCTTCCACTCTGCTTTAGTAACCCTAACATATTTTCATTTTCTGGGTCTTTTGGATGGCTAAGAAAAAACAATGCACACTAAATTGTTCAAGGATAAAAGAGAAAGTCCTTCTTTTCTCTTTGTTTCCCATTCTTTCTATTTCACACGGAATAGTTTTCTCTAATATATAGTTGTTGCAGTGAGTTTGGGCCCCTAGACTCAAGTATTATAGATAGCTTACAGACAACATAAATTTAATCCTTAAAAACAAAGTCTGAAAGTCTGTGGCTGTAGTACAAAACTATTGGAGTGTCTTCAGATGCTTGCTTTTGATTTGTACAGCAGCAACTCCTCATATAGGTAACTTGGCATGATGAGAGGCACGAAGCCTCCTAGGTCTCTTTAATTATAACACTAGTTTCCTTCATGATTAAATTATTTCTCAGATGCTCCATGTACAGTAATATTTAAAACTTAGAATTAGAATTCCAGTGCATACATTAGAGCAGAGTACCAAAAATTAGCGCATAACATGGGAATACTGTGTCCTAACCAGGTCCCATTGCAGAACTTGCCCTATAACCAAAATAAAATTCTGTCAATAAAAACGAAGTAACATCTGCTCTTTCTTCAGTACATATATTTGTTGATGTGTTTTTCCCCCAAGGCCTAAAGTTTTATGTATATCAGATGTTCTAGCTATACCCTATTTCTATTCACATTTAAATTTCAAATAAAAATTTTTGTATGTTTTGGCTTGAAATAGAATTACCTCATTATCCCTATGCCTCGCCTCCCTGCAGCCCCTCCCTGGTACCCTCTCATCAACATTTCCCATGACTCCCTGCTTCTTTTTCTTTGATTATTATTGTTATATTCCTTATTTGTTTGTTTTATTTTTGTACCAAAAAATAATAAAAGGGAGATTTTCATTTAATTTCAACAGTTATCCTTTCCCTTTCCTCAAAAATCTTCTATAAACCCCTCCCATTCTCTTTCAAATTCAGGGTTTCTGTTTTCATCAACTGTTTGTGTGTGTGTGTGTGTGTGTGTGTGTGTGTGTGTGTGTGTGTGTGTGTAGACATATATATACATACATATATATATTCCAAATATAGCCTGTTGAACCCATATAATGTTACTTTTATGTATCTTTTCAGGGCTGACCTTTTAGCACTGGACAATTAACTGCTCTGCTCTTCCCTGGGGAGGGCCACCTCTCTGGCTCACCCTTTTACTCATTTGCCTGTACTTCTGTGTGTAGGGTTGAGGCCTCATGCTTTTCCCTGTGCATTTTGGCATATTGTTGATGTCATCTTTGTTCAGTTGATATTTGGGCAGACATGTTGGTGAGACTTTATGGTTATAGCTTCTGATATTGCCAGGAGACACAATATCACAACAAAGTCCCTGAGCTCTGGCTCTTACAATCTTTCCATGCCCTCTTTGCAATGTTTTGAGCCTTGGGTATGGGAGTGTTTTGTAGATGTACCCATTGGGCTCCACACCTCTATATTTTGATTTTTCTTTTTGTGGTTTTCTGTAGTGTTCCAGAATAATCTCTAATAATGATCTTTAAATATTTGTCCTTACATCCACCGATAAGTGTAGTCTTCACTTCTCATCAGGGAAACTTCTCTTTGCAACAGACATACATTCTTCTTAATAACAACTTCTATTTTTAGTTGGGCATATTGTCCACGATATGAAAATCTATGCATACTCTCATTTATTATTACCATGGCTTAGACATGAGGCAAAGTTTTTGCCAATGAGTTGCAAGTGGAATTACTATATGGAGTTTTAGAGAAAAAGCAGGTCATTTAATTCCTGAAGTAATGATGTGTAGTTACAAGGAGTTGTGGATCCATCATGGAGCTAGAGAATTTAAGCTTTTGCCTATGAGATGTGGAAGAGAGACCTGTCAGGGATTGGGAGAGAGTCACTGACCACTATTATGGAGTTAGCATAAGTACCACTTCGTACTTATGAAAGGATATTGTTATTTAGATCCAGTGGAGAATCTTTATTATTGATCAAATTGACAGATGTTGATAAAAGTACAGAAATTATATTATGTTCAACATCTAAACTCTGAAGCCAGGGAATTTTTATCTGAGGCAGGAGCAGCTGGTATAACTGCATCTGACATTGATGGTGACAAGTGGGATTTAATGACAATTTAAGACAAGATGATCCAGCATAACAGAGAGAAATACTTAACATGTGGATCTCCTGGCACAAAAATAAAATCTTAGGAAGTCAGCCTTTATGTCTGATAGAAAAGAAGGTAAAACTCCTGGTCTGCCATTATGTTAGAGATGGACTGTAAATTTAGGATTCATTGAGATTTGGATATTTTGATGGTCTAGAAATATTTTTCATTTTCAAACCTCTGAAGCTTTGTATCTTTACAAAAAAAGAGGCACTTAGAGTTTCTAGGAAAAAGAAAAAATTATTAACATTCCAAAACATGGTATTTAAATCAATTTTACATGTGGCAAGGCATTACTTAATCTTTAATTGAATTCTTGTATCCTTCAGCTGCTCACTTGAAAGTTTTTGCATCTCTGTATCACCAGGGCTATTTTTCATATTTGCACACAAAAAGGTAGTTATTAAATGCATATTTAAGAACAAAAGGAAAGCTTGTGGCTGTAAAAGCCCTAATTATTTTTCATATACTTCTTCACTCCTAAACACTTTCATCATACTTCTTAAGAATAGTTCAATGCTATATAGTTTTAAAAAATTGCTAATTAAAAATGTTGAAACTTTCATTCCTTGGCACTATTATATGGTTGTAGCAATTATAACTGCAGAAATGCTACTTACTAAAAGTAATATAATATCCTATTGCCAATGTTCTAGAAAATTATGTTTTGTTTTTAATCATTCAGAGAATATATATGTGTATGTATTCATACTTTTATGTAATGTAGATGTCGTATTCTCTTTCAACTAATACATAGATAGCTCTAATTCTGTGTAACCTAACCAAATTTGTGTTTCTTGAGATTCATTAAATAAGAGTTACAAAATAAGTTAATTCATTCAGTTTTTGAACACTAAATTCTTCCTAAAGAATCTCAAATATTGATACTAGGCTAACATTATTTCACATAGAATAAACTGGATTTATAACTGATTTCACAAAAGCCTTACTTTTCTGTAAATTCCACATAAGAAGTTACTCTGTTTTGGATAGTACCGTAACTGTCCTCAGGGCATAGAAAATAATGCCATTCATTGTGAGTGCCCAATGAGTATTTGTTATATCAATAATGAGTTTTATCAGATAGTATTGACTAGAAATAAGAGAAACCCAATTCAAACTAAAAGATAAAAGGAGATTGATCAAAGAATGTAACTGAGTAAACAAAGATTTCAAGTAGGTTCCAGACAGAGCTAATAATACAGAAACAGGCCCTGACTGACAGTATGCATTCAGTCTAAATTAGCTTAGAGCTAAGCCCTGAATATTTGCTCTAGTTACTTTCCTCATTGCTGAGACCAAATACTTGAAAGAAAAGAAAAGAAAAAAGAAAAAAAACTTAAGGAATTAAGCATTTATTTGGGTCACAGTTTGAGGATACAGCCCATGTATGAAACATCGAGCATCAGGAAGCCATTCACTGTGGTAATGTACCGTGTACCCTAATAAACTTGCTTGGGGATCAGAGGACAGAGCCAGCCACTAGATTAGACATAGAGGTCGGGCAGTGGTGGCACACACACCCTAAATCCTATCACTCAGGAGGCAGAGATATCCATCTGGATCTATGTGCATTCAAGGCCACACTGAGAACAGAGCCAGGTGTAGTGGCACACACCTTGAATCCCAGGACTTGAGATCTCATGCCTTTGCTTGGAAAACACACACACCTTTAATCCCAGGAAGTGACATGGCTGGATGGAGAACAGTATTTAAGGTGTGAGGAGACAGGAACTAAGCAGCAGTTCAACTGAGACCCTCAGGGGTGAGGACTCAGAGGCTTTCAGTCTGAGGATTCTTGGAAACAGGGTCAGCTGAGGAGCTGGCGAGATGAGGTTGGCTGTGGCTTGTTCTGCTTCTCTGATCTTTCAGCGTTCACCACAATATCTGGCTCTGTTTTTTTTTTTTTTTAATTAATAAGACCATTTAGCAATTCCTGTTACATTTCACATTTTGTCTGCAGCTGGGAGTCAGAAAGCAAACAAGGCCTTCTCCTATTGTCACAGTCCTTCAATGAGGCCCTGCCTCCTAAAAGGTCTCCAACTTTCAAAAACAGCACCAATATCTGGGGACCAAGTGTTCAAAACCATGAGCTTATGGAACACATTGAGCATCCAAACCGTATAGTATGAGGTTGAATATTAACTGGTCTGACCTATAGGAAGAACTTGATCACTGATGAGTGCTTGTTTCTTCTTCATCCTCTTTTCTTTGTTCTCTGTCTCCCTTTCTCTGAAAAGTGACCCATTCCATTGGCTCCTGACAGTTTGAAGCTTAAATGATAAAACAAATAAACAAACAAACAAAAAACAAAACAACAACAAAAACAACAAAAAGCTATTGTTGGATAGAGATTGATATCCAATCCCCTTTATCAGGGAGGGGAGAGAGTATTTTGAAATAAGTTTTTATTAATTCTTTGAGAATTTTATACAATGTATTCTGATCCTATTCATCTATCAACTTTCCCTAAATCCACTCTCCTTCCTTATTCAAACAACTTTGTGTCCTTATTTATTATTTATTTATTTATTTATTTATTAAATCCATCAGTTCTGAAATGTGCTTTCCATAATTCTTGGGTGTGCTACCATCCACTGGAGTATAGTTGTCCTGACAGGCCACAGTCTTAAAGAAAATTGACTCTCCTTCTCCTAGAAGTTATCAGTTGCCAACAGCTCCTTAACTAGGGGAGGGACTTACAGTAGTAGGTTCTCCTCTTGTGTCTATGATCTATCTAGCTACAGGTTCTTAGCCCCAGTAATAGCACTAGGTAAGGGTTCAATTTCGTGGAACAGTCCTTAAATTGAATTGGAATGTGATTGTCTTCTTCTATAATATTTGTGCCACTATTGTCCTACCTCCTTACTCCATGCTGGGATTTTGTCTATTTTGAGCATGTGTGAGTTCCATGCATACACACTCACTGTAAGAACATGTGTACCATTGGCCCTCTGCATCTGGAACACATTGTAATATTGTAGCCATCCACTGCCTTTGGCTTCTATAGTCATTTGCCCACTCTTCCACGATGATCCCCATGGTCCCTCAACCTTAGGAGGAGGCATTATGACACAAATGTTCCATTAAGGGATAAGCAGTCTGTATGCAGTCTCTTATTCTCTGCCACTTGACATGTTGTGGGTCTTTGTGTTAATTGCCATCTATTACAAAAAGGAGCAACTCTGATATAGGATGAGCAATGCAGTCATCTATGTGTATCACAATAAATCATTAGGAGTCTATTTACTACTATGCCCATATATCAGACTAACAGTAGTAGGTTCTCCTCGTGTGTCTGTGATCTATCTAGCTACAGGTTCTTAGCCCCAGTAATAGCACTAGGTAAGGGTTCAATTTTGTGGAACAGTGCTTAAATTGAATTGGAATGATTGTCTTCTTCTATAACATTTGTGCCACTATTGTCTTGCCAAGCCCATTATTGTAGCTTGCTAAGTTGGTAATATTATGGGTAATATTGATGATAACTTTTTAGACGATAGTACTACTGGGCAGATTACATGATAAGTGTTCATTATAGAAGCCTTGCCATTATAATTTTTTCTCTGTGTTTCTCCAAAGTAAATTAACTCTAAAAAAGGTCATCTAAGAGTTCTGACATTCATGGTAAGCAGCAGTCTCTTTTGTTAGCTTTCCCAGGCCATCTTGCAGTCTTTTCAGTACTAGATGATGGGTCAGTAGATTACACGTGAGTAGATTTTCATGACTCCAGGCTGAGTTATTAAACATATTCACCTTTTCCACCTGGCTTGTCCTCCGTTACTGAGATTTTTTTGAATTTATAAGGTTGATGCACTGGGGAGGTAGATGAGATTTTGGGATTTATGTGCTCCATATGACAGAGCTTCAGTTTGTACCCAAAGCACCTGTCTAACATAAACCAGCACTAGACTAGGAGAGATAACACACCACCTCTTAAGTTTTCAAAGCTCAAAGGCTTTTTTATTATGATATTTTCATGAATTATATTGGAATACAGCATTATTTTAAATGTGTTTTGTCAGAAAGATAGAGACATTTGTTTTACTGAATTTTGATTAAAACCCAGTCTCTGCTGCTTACTGTGTTGTGATCTTGGACCAGTTCTTTGGTTTCTCTGAGCCCTGGTGTTTCTATTAGTAAGGGGGGTGGTACTGATTTGTCTATCCTAAGGTTAATGGAAGCAGAAAAATATTGCATACAAGACGCTCATTTTGTTGTCTAGTTTGGTAACTGGCAAGTGTACAGACCATCTACAAAGAGGTGAATAGTTCTAATCACATATTGAACATCCAAGACAGCCTTAAGTTTCTGGTATTACTATTACCCCTATTTTCTTTGAGGTAGGTGTTCTAGGCAATGTCACAGATATTTGACCCTAAGGAGTTGGATGCCAAAGTTAACTCAGCTAAATTACTATCTCTTAAGAAGTTTAGAAAAGTAATCCAACTAATTTTACTTACCATACATTAGTGAATAAATTTTTTAACAATATCTGTCAATTCTCTCATTCTCCAGGCATCAATCAAGTGTACTATAAAGTAATTAAATTCTGATATGCATTGTCTAGAATAACACAGAACTTACTGGTTAAGAACTCAATTCTTGGTAGCTCCGTGACGGGTTTGGCCTCGCATGTGCCTCCCACCCAGCGCCGCCACGATGCCCAAGAGGAAGGGAGTGGACGGAGCGGTGAAGGCAGAGCCCAAGCGGCGCTCGGCGAGGCTGTCGGCCAAGCCCGCCCCTGCCAAGGTGGACGCGAAGCGGAAGAAGGCCGCGGGAAAGGATAAACCATCAGACAAAAAAGTGCAAACAAAAGGGAAGAGGGGAGCAAAGGGCAAACAGGCGGAGGTGGCTGACCAGCAAACCACAGATGTGCCTGCAGAAAATGGAGAGGCTAAGAACCAGAGTCCAGCCTCTGAAGTCGAAGAGAAAGAAGCCAAGTCCAACTAACCATCCATCGTGTCTGTGTCCCCGCCTCCCTTCTTGTACAATCCAGAGGAATATTTTTATCAACTATTTTGTAAATGCGAGTTTTTTAGTAGCTCTAGAAACATTTTGAAAAGGTGGGAGGAAGTCCCGCCTCATCCCATTTTTTAAGTGTAAATGATTTTTTTAAGAGGTTAAATCACTTGCTGGTTGTTTATTTTTTGGTACAACCAGAAAATAGCAGGATACTGAATCAGGAGAGGCTGTGACTGTCTCGGGGGTCACCATAACATTCCGTAGAGGGGGCTAGTTTTATATCCTACAACACAAAGCATACTTGGAGTCTTGGTCGTGCATTTGTGTCTGGAATATTTTCAGTTATTTCTGGTCTCTTGTTTCTAGTAGAACTGTATCCTAAAAAAACCACTCCTTGGTCCTTGCCCTGTCAGAACTGTCTCTGGTCATGGCAGTCCATTTTCCTAACAATTGTGATAATGTGCTGTGAAAGATTGAAATTTTGAATATGTACTGTATGTGGCATAAAATTGTGAGTCAGTGGAATTAAGGATTGTGAGCATTTGATCGTTATGTGAGGTCTTAGGGAAAACTTGCTAAGTTTAGGATGGAACATCACTGGAATAAGTTCAAAGAGAAAGAATATGTGGCTCTTTTGGGTACGTGAACACAATGTATGACTCTTAGAGTTTGGGTCCATGTTTTAAGAATTGAAATGTCTGTGTACTCAACCAATAAAGTCTCAGTTGTGAAAGAGTATTCAAAAAAAAAAAAACTCAATTCTTTAAGATTGCTCTTCACCCAGATACCAGTTTCCAACTGTAGTTATAAAACAAAAGCTCCTTCCATGGTCCCTCCTCATGTCCCATAACTCAAAAGCTCCTTCCATGGTCCCTCCTCATGTCCCATAACTCAAACAATACCTCACAAAACTTAGGACAACACTTTACTTTCATTTATTAGATTATTATACAGCATAAGAGATTCCTTAGGTGTACCAAAGCAGTTAGGGGCAAGGCTGTACTTTCTATATGCCATGCTCCTAACATCTCAATATGTTCATGAACTCAGAATCACTGAGAACTTTGTTGTTTGGAGAACATTACAGAATTATCATCAAACAGGCATGATTAATTAAATATTTGTCTACTAATGATTAACATAGTTACTCCCTCAGTTGCTCCCAAGATTAGGGTACAGGTCTGAAAGTCTAATCCTCATGTTTAGGTCTTTCTGGCTAGGATCCTCCATTTTTAAGCTACTTAAAAGTCCATAGACACTAGGCAGTAATGAGTACACACAGGACACTTTTACCATTCCAGAGACTTAGAAGCTATGTACTCGGGGATGGGAGTGGGGTTAGGGCAAAATCCAAGCATTTTTATCATATTACTGTAATGTTTCATTAAATTTGTGTATAAATACTGCAAAGGAAGGACTTTTAGAACAAAATTTTCATTCAAGTCTTGCTCTGAACATGCACTAAATAAAGACAATTGAACAAGTTGCTTAACTTTTAGCCCTCAGCTTCTTTATTTATTAAAAATATATAGTACTTATCTCAAGGGCTCTTTGGAGGATTCAGTGAAGTTTTATAAGTTATATTTTCAAAGCACCGAGAATATGACATGGGAAAAGTGGGTATTGTTTACCTTTCTACAGTAGTTCTGAGTATTTAAGTAAGACTATTTAAATGTCTCGTTTCTCTCTGGGTAAATTAGTCACTCTAAGAATTCCCTCAGGAAACTTCTACTACTGACAAACACTTTCAGCATGGTGGTAGCATATAAAATTAACAAAGATCAGAAGCCTTCCTATAGACAAATGGCAGATTGAGAAAGAAATCAGAGAGATCTTTCACAATAGCCTCAAAAAAAGTTTGGATAACTCTAACCAAGCAAGTAAAGGACTTGTATAATAAAAACTTTAATACACTGAAGAAAGAAAATGAAGAAGATATCAGAAGACAGGAAGATCTCCCATGCTTATGGATTGATAGCATTAATATAATGAAAATGGCTTTTCTACCAAAAGCAATCTACAGATTCAACACAATCCTCAACAAAATTTCAGCACTGCCATTGGGGTAGGGAAAAGTATAATCAAAATACACTGTAAGAAAAAAAATCTATTTCCAATAAAAAAAATTCCAGCACAATTCTTAATAGAAATGGAAAGAGCTAGAGGGAATGGATGACACCAAGAAAACTGTCTTCCAGACTGAACAGGACTAATGTACATATGAATTCACAGAGACCGTGGCAGTGATTACAGGGCCTGTACTAATTCAACCCCAGTGGAGTCCCAGTGCTTAGAAGGAGATGTGAACATGAACTCCCACCCTAACCAGGAAGCTATCTTCAATTGATAACCACTTGCAAAGGAAAAATCAATTTCCTCCAATTGAGTCTCACTGAGTATACAGACCGCACTTAAGGGCACACCCTATGCCCTGCAGCAGATGGCCAACACAAAATGAACTCAGTGGTAGTTTCGAAGATTTTTTTTCCTGTCTCATATTGCTTTGTTTGGGTATTTTTTTTAACCTCACTAATCTTTTGTTTGTATGTTATGAGTCCTGAATTTGTGTTTTTGTGAGTTTTGTGTGAGCTTGTATCTGTGCTTTTGTGTGTAAGTGTTTCTTATGAATTTCCTTTGTTTGAATTTTAAAAATGTTTATTCTGTTGTTTTTTCCATCTTTCTCTCTCTCCCCCTCTCCCTCTCCCTCTCTCTCTATATATATATCATCTATCTATCTATCTATCTATCTATCTATCTATCTATCTATCAATCATCTATCTATCTATCTATCTATCTATCTAGAGAAAGATGATATGGAGTTTGTAGGATGACATGGGAGGAAGGATCTTGGCAGCACGAGGGAGGGGATACCATGATCATAATATATTGTGTGAAAAAATATTTTCAATGAAAAAAGAAAAAAACATATAGACAAAAATGTTCACATGGTAAAATATGACTTTTGTCATCGTTTCCACTAGAATCTCCTCTACTGCTGCTGTTACAAGATGAAGCGGCCCTTGAATTCCCTTAAACAGTCATCACAGGCACGGAAAATGCTTTCTGAACAAGTCTGAAGTGATGCCAGGGAGGGGGCCTGCCCTGATGGCGAAGTGGCTCTCCAAGCAAAGAGCCTCTCAACTTTCTTTCCTCTGTGCCCTCCTCTTTTTATACCCAGCATCCATCTTTCTTTTTCTTTTCCCTTCCCTTCCCTTCCATTCCCTTCTCTTCTCTTACCCTTCCCTCCCTCCCTCCCTCCCTCCCTCCCTCCCTCCCTCCCTCCCTC